AAAAAAAAAAAGAAACAAATTATAATGATGTGATGAGAGGTCTAATGAGCTAACGAATGAAAATACTTCTACAGACAGACGCTTAAATCGACCACAACAATCTTTTTTCTATCAACGTCGCTAACACCTTTTAGTTTGATGACCAGACACCGGTGGATTTGCATATAATTCCTCACATAAATTAGCACAAAATAAAGTAACAGTTAAACTTGCCAACGAAGCTAAACACTAATAATCTGCAGATAAAAAAAACCTGTTAAGCAGGTGTGACAAGCTTTCCAGTAGCAGTATTTCATCGCTATCCGCTGCTCCAACGCCTAAGTACATTTAACTCTCTACTACTGCTGTTACCACTGCTGATTAAGGGCGTTAAAAATAAATGAAACGAAAACCAGTGACTATTAGAGAAATTAACTCATTAAATGAGGCCGCCTAGACAGAACATTAGTAAAGTTTGAATACCGCTAACATATTCATGGTATGTAAGTATATAAACAAAATTTTACGCTTTTTGGAGCATAAATAAAACATTTTTAACGGCTTGTCAAACTGCAGTTTTTTTGAATATTAATTTTGAATAGAGACAAAAAAGGATCTAAAAAGTTTCCGCTATTATTTTTTTTATCTTTTAAACGAATTCTTGATCTTAATTACTGTTGTCGTCGTAGAATTTTCCTGTATTAACACAGCAGAGCACTCTCTCAAGCTCTACTCACTTCAACTAAGCTCTGCACTGCTCTCAGAAATTTAAGCGTAATGCTTTATTGAACTGACTGCATGAATTCTAAAAACAGCAATAAAATTACGCAATTGGCAAAAAAAAAGTGTGAAATGGAGAAATAATTACAAGATCTAAGATTCACCAGTGACAATTTTTACGCAAATTGTGCTGAGACTGATCATGTGTACAGTTGAAATAAGCAACGCATCGGATACATGCTGATCATACTTGTATAAATACATTAAAATATACACAAACAGTTATGGCGACGAAAGACAACAGTCCATCAAAGTTTGGTGAACTAAACAAATGCAGTTTTTTCCTTTTCATCTTCATTCCTTTCGTCTTTATGCCAACAACAGATTTCTTTGCCAAAAGTAATAAAAATAATAATGAAGAAAAAAAAAGAATTAGAAGTGGGTGTTGTTTAGCTTTTCAGTAATATGACTGAAGCACTGAGAAACGTTACGTGATAAATATATCCATAGCAACTAGATCAAATTTTTTCTTTTTTTCATGATAATCTTTTATTACTGGTGTAAAAGAGCTTTATTCATTAGCGAACCTTCATATAAAAATATCTACATAAATTTAAACACAAATATAATATATATTTATATTTATTTATTTATATATTTGCTTATTTATTTGTTAATTTTATTAATATTTTTATGCATTTAATACAAATATAAATATAAATCCAAATATGTATATATATTTATTTATTAATTTATTTATTCATTTATTTACTCACTTATTTATTGACTTGTTTATTTATATATAAAATATGCGCTTTTTTATTTATGTACTCTGGTGTGTCGGGTTTATAAACGGATATATGAACATATTTAAATATATATGTATTTATTTATTCATTCATCTATTTGTTCATATGCACATATATGTATGCCCTAACAAGTCGTCTTTTACTATCATCCTGTGTTTCTTAATTTTTGCGCTCAACTGCACCGGTCAAAAAGCAGTATTTTTTTCAGGATGATTTTTTTTTTTGCCGTCAATGGAATAACGAAATGCATTTTTTGAGTTTCACTGATGCAGCAAATCTTCACGAACGTTGGTAACAATAGCATTTGTTTCTTCTGACAGTGTGT